GGGGTGGCTGGCCAGGAGTTGGGGCCTAGACTGGGTGGGGAAGGGGGGGTGGCTGGCCAGGAGTTGGGGCCTAGACTGGGTGGGGAAGGGGGGGTGGCTGGCCAGGAGTTGGGGCCTAGACTGGGTGGGGAAGGGGAGGTGGCTGGCCAGGAGTTGGGGCCTAGACTGGGTGGGGAAGGGGAGGTGGCTGGCCAGGAGTTGGGGCCTAGACTGGGTGGGAAGGGGAGCGGGGTGGCTGGCCAGGAGTAGGGGCCTAGACTGGGTGGGAAGGGGGGGGAGAGGAATAGGGATGTGCGGTTGGCCAAGGAAGGATCAGGACTTTGTGGTGGAGCAGAGACCACCAAAAGTCCACTGAAAATTGGAATGGCCCCGTTTACTTTGGTTCTAGTAAGCCAGCGCACGAGCCAGAACCCTTCAGAACAAACAAGCCCCGCAAGCCCCGCACCCGCGAACCCCCACGAGCCCAAGCCCGGTCAGCACTAGCCGGTGGCCACTCATCTTCGACCCCTTTAAGGCCTTGCTCCGCGGGACTAACGTTCGAACGAGCGCTGAAGCTCCTCCCTCAGCCTCTGATTGGCCGCACGCAGCACACAAAAGCGTTCCGGCCCGCCCCGAACGGTTGGCAGCGCGCCGTGATTGGCGTTCGGGCAGCTTATATAAAGCGCGGGGCGGCGCAGCGCACCTCAGTTGAGCGACCGGACGTGGGAGGAAGCGGTTGTCCGGAGCCAGGGGGGCTGAAGCCGGCTGGCGCGCGCGGCTCGGAGTCGTTTTTCTTCGGAGCGCTGTCGAGGGCGCGCCCCCGGAGCGGACTTATCTGCGCTCGTCGCTCTCCCTGTCGCCACCGGACCGGAGGCAGGGGTGGGTCCAGTCACCTCGACGCTCGCCCTGGGTAGAGGAGGCAGGATGGAGTTCAAGCTGGAGGCTCACCGCATCGTCAGCATCTCCCTGGGCAAGATCTACAACTCGCGGGTCCAGCGGGGCGGCATCAAGCTGCACAAGAACCTTCTGGTCTCGCTGGTGCTGCGCAGCGCACGCCAGGTCTACCTGAGCGACCCCTGCCCTGGCCTCTACCTGGCCGGCCCCGCGGGGACTCCGCTGGCGCCGCCGCCGCCGCAGCAGCCCGGGGAGCCGGCG